TTACATGGCAGTACATATCCTTTTAGTAAAGATTGTTAGAAGGAGACAACTGCACATTAACAAATACTTGACTTTAACAACCTAAAGAAATAAATAGAGAGGTCACAAATAATTATTTAAAACTACTTGAGCATTAGCTAGCCCCTGTCTTTGTATTTTCTATCCAATCATTCTTTTTTCAATCAATTATTATTACTATTATGATAAGGGAATGCATGAAAAAATAAATAAATAAATAATAATAAAATAAAAAAAATCAGGCAGGTCATTCTCATTTAGATGGATGATCGATATCAAGATAATGTTGCACATCAGTTGGATAAAAGGCGTGACAAAGATTTGAAACAATACATATATGCCCAAAAACCATTTTCTAAAGAAAAAAATGCAAGGACACAAAGTGCACACCATCACATGCAAGCATGCATGCACATGCACACATAAAGAAAATTGTATATTTTCCTCATTATTATTAGTGTAAATCATCATCGTCTACTTAAAATTGGATCAATTTTGTTAATTTATAAAAACAGGGATTTTCATTTTTAAACAGGGCTTGCTTGGTTTGTAAACAGGGCTTGCTTGACTGTTTTCTCATTACTATAAAAATTGAGTTACCTACTCTCATTTCATTTTTCAGTTATATGTTGGTGGCCTAGTTTTCTTCATCATTACTGTAAGTGAATAGTAAATTATAAATTCCATTATCTTCAGGCTTGGGTGTAGTAGCAGTTCAAGGATTTTCATTCATTAGAAGATACTTAATTGTGCTAATAGACTTATCATTGATTTTAGAATCATTATAATTACGAAGTCCTAGTCTAACCACAATAGGAAACAAACAGCAACTTAGTAATATTTTGTATGTTGGCATTTCACGATCAGTTTAGAAAATTTCTTTGGGGCCATTGAAGCTCCTAACATATAATGCGACACAACTCCAACTCTAACTCTGATGTTTAATGGGCTCAAAATGAACTTGCTTATGATTATCTGTATACTTGTTCTTCTTTATATACAGGGTAACAGTGTGGCCTCCGTTAATCGAGGGTGTTGGGAGATACAGACTGTAGATTGTGAGTTGTACGCAGCGGAAATAACTTATAAATTTAAATTTATAATGATTAAGATATTTATCATTTAAAGAAATAGTAGGTGCTCTTAAATTAGGAATAATTTGTGGGTGGTTTGCATCATATTTAATTTTGAAAGTTCAATTTGAAGTTTGAACATTGCTTAATTGCTATCACTTCCTAAAAAATTGTAAAAGAAAAGGAAAATAATAATTTTTACTAACTTTTTAGATAATGCTATTTATTCGTTCTGAACTCTCTGTATCCGTTATTATTTTGATTATTATAGTGAAATCCCTACAACCATTGGACGTAACCCTGATTTTTTGGTGAACCAAGTAAAATCTGTATATTTGTTGTGTGTATTTGATCTTTATATTGTATTTTTTATTTAATTTCACAAGAGGTAGTGAAATTGAAAAAAAAAATTTAATTGTAAAATCGTAAATTTTCATGTCCAAACAGATAGATTCTTTAAACTAAAATTGTCTAAATAATTTGTCCAAGTTATATTAAATTTTATACTAATTTGAATTGCTCCAATAATAACATATGGTAATTTTTCAAGATTCAATGGCTTACTCAATTTATCTTTTACCATACATAATGTGTGACATCAAGTCTCATGTATAAGCAAATGTGAATTACAAGTGCAGTACCTACTTCTTTATCATATATTTATATCAAAACCTTGTTTTTAAAATAGTGTAGTAAACCCAAATCATAAATAGGGTAGTGATGAACTATCCTAATAATGAAACAAAATAATGGGAAATTGGCACAATACCCAACTTCCAAACATGTCCCTAGTAGGTCTCGCCCTTTGGTCCACGAGGGCTTGTTTTTTACTCTGTTTTATATACCCCTGCTTTGCACCCCCACTGTTTTTGGCAGTTCTAAATTTGTCCTTGAACAAAAAGCTTTGGTGGTTCTCGTGGTTGGCAAGAAAGTTGAACGCGTTGTTGGTGGGTTTGGGTCAGCCCAGTGCTCTAGGCACCTTTTAAATTTTAGAATGTTATTACGATTGTTATCATGACCTGGCTTAGTGTTAGGATTGTCTGAGGTATGTTGTTTGATCAGTTTTTGACGTAAGTGCCGTTTGGTAGTTTTCTTTGTCAGGATAAATAATAATAATAATAATAATAATAATAATAATAATAATAATAATAATTTGTCCTTGAACCATAGCATTATTAGCATTATGTGTAAGTAAATTTTCAAAGCACGTAGAAAAAACTTTAACATAGAATTCCCAATCTTCAAAATGTGAAGTTATGTGAGGTAACAACCTTTGTCGCGATTCGACCACAACTTTGAGACTTTGACGTTGCAAAATTCAGTTTGAAACCTTCAGTTCCTAATGCAATATATTTCCGTAAGAGAATCAAAGTAAGCAAAAATATAACATTACTTACCCATAATGCTAATAATGGAATGTATATTACCGTCACGTACCCTCAACAAATGGCGAGCTTTTATTTATTTATTTTTTGGGCAAGTAAAAGTCTAGCTTTTAGTCAAAGTCTTCCAGCTTAGCTGGTAAGATACCTCCTGTTGACTCTTGGAGCACATGGGTTCGAGTCTTGACACCAACTAACTCCTAACATTTACCCTTCAAAAAAAAAAAAAAAAAAGGTCCAGCTTAAAGTCAAAAGAGAAATAAGATAAGGGTAAGGGATTTATCTTACCCAAAATCTCTATGGAATCATAAAAAATATCTGGTTACCATATGTAACCAGAGTTACCATTCCTTGCACATGAGAGGCAAGCTTGGGAATGGGGTTAGAAAATTAACCTCTCTTATTAAAGATACGAGCTCACAAAACTCTGGAAAATCAGACTTCCTTATCTATCGAAAATTAGTCTCTCTTATTAAAAAGATGAGATGACGAAACTTACGAGGATGGACCTCCCATATTAAAAGGATAGGTTCATGAAGCTTGGAGAACCTACTCCCTTTTTAAAGGGCGAGTTAAATGAAGCTCGTAATTGCCATCCTCGTATTATAAGGGTTTGATATAAAAGTGCCCCGTACTATAAAGGCCCGAGCTGAATGAAGCTCGTAATTGTTGTCCTCCGTATTAAAAGGGGTCGAAATCAACTTGTAAAATATACCTCCCTTTTTAAAGGGCGAACTGAGTGAAGCTCGTAAAATATATTTTCCTTTTTAAGGGGCGAGCTGAGTAAAGCTCGTAAATATACTTCCCTTTTTACTCCCTCAGCTCATGAAGTTCGGACAAATCTTAAGAGATCAACCAAAAAAAAAAAAAAAAACAGGTCGCCTAACAAGGGTTAACCTAAAAAGAGATTGATTTCTGCTAAAGAGACGTCACTCAAAAAAACACTTTGACATTCTCGATGTTTGACAAGCAAGCACGAGAATGGGAGGCAACTGATAAGGATAAAAATAATAGGCAACTCAAAGTCAAAAAAGAAATAAGATAAGGGTAAGGGATTTATCTTACCCAAAATCTCTATGGAATCATAAAAAATATCTGGTTACCATATGTAACCAGAGTTACCATTCCTGTAAGAAGGAAACGATATCATCTTGGATCAGGGACAATCTCGTTTCAACAACTACTACCATTAATGCTTCTATAAAAGAGATGATGGGTCAACCTAAAAAGGTACGTCATAACTTTAATATGTAATCCTTGTAGGATATTAGATCGTCAAGTACTAACTTGACCGTCGGAGTGCACCCAGCCGGCACCACGCCGGTCATCACTTCTCTTGTTTTGCAAGAATCGCCACCGACTCCGGAGCGTGTAGATTTTTGGCATCAACATATATATATATATATTTATATGCGTGTATGAAGTGATGCTAGGGATGTGACAAGAGTTGAAAATTGAACCAATTGAATTCCACAATATCGAAGTCACTGTGTTTTTTTTTTTGCAAACGCAGATGAAGTTGGCTTAACTACTACTGACCTCATAAATCATACGCTCGCATAGTCGCATGAATGGCTGTCATTATTTAAATTACATTAATGTCCTTATTTTCTCAATAATCAAGTAAATCAAAAACTGAAAAATATTTGTAAAACAAATAATAATTTTTGGATCGAACATCTTGACATATGTAATCAACTTGATATTAGGAATGCATAACAAGCAGGATGTATTTATCAAACACACACACATAAAAGCTTGAATGTATACTTAAAAAAAATTATATTCAGCCACCCAACTACAGGTGCAAACCGTGCAATAATATGGCAGTGCAGATTGAGGATGTGAAGACCCCTTTCTTGGTCTCCCTTGTTAAATAGAAGGATAGTATAAATGGGTTGAGAGGCAGAAACGCAGTGCAAACAAATTTAGGAGACTTACTAGACTTGTCACCTAGATAAAATTCCCAAATACACAATAATCCTTTAGGTAATAAAAGTAATATAATAAGTCAAATTTAGTAGTAGCTGATTGTATTTAATTGATTTTTTATTAGGTTGAGTTCTCAAATGATGATAGAAATACTTCAACCTAGTATTACTCTGCCCAGTAAGGATTACGAAAAATATATTGACAAGAAACATAGTTACTTTTCTTTTTTCCCTAGGTAACAAAGTTACTTTTTTATAAGCCTCCTAAATTCAATTATCTTATATTGAGCTTGGACCATGCTAACAATTTCAATTATTTCGAGAGTACAAGTTCACCAAGGAGAACAGATGACATGGAGCAGAAAATTTGTCTTTCTAACTGACTCCATGAACCTGAGATAAGGGAATCATACGACTCAAGATGAAACATGGAGAGTCAGTATGACTAAATGGAGTCAATATTTCAATTTATTCAAATCCAACATGCCAAGGGATCAGCTCAACCTGGTGTTTTCAAGAGTAAGCTTAAGAATGATTTCCAATTGTAGATACTAACATATAAAAGCTATGCACAAAACATCATAACAATGCATTTGACGTGCACATACAATCGAGAGCGGAATACATAATCTACTTTATGAAATGCTCAATCAGAGTACTACACTATAGAAATAATTAGAGCTCCATGGTTCATTACCTGTTTAAGCCAATCACGCACTAACATAATCAAAATAAGGGAGAGAAAAAATGCTGGTAAAGCAGCTAGAATAGCGAAGCTGATTTCATTGGCCCTTAGAATCTGATCCAGTTCGAGCATTGCGCTGTTCAAAAGAAAGTCATCAGGAATTTAAAGAAAAACTTGAATGCGAAAGAGATCTGACGTCTACCCAAGGATACCAGCTCATTCACTCATGTCTCAATATCTAGTTTTAGCTTCTGAATCTGCAATGGCAAAAACCACTAGTCATGTGACCGAGATTAAAAACTACTGACCAGTGAAAGTAATGTACATTAAAATATCCAGAATCGGAAACCTTACGGATAGTCGAGTAAGAGTAATGTACCATATTCGGACTGTAGGTACGTTTCATCCTAGTGAAGGAGAGCCAACTATTCTTCTTAATGTACTCAATAAGCTTCTGACCCGAACTGTCTCTTAACTTCTTCAAATTCACATTCCGTTTCTTGTGGTTCACGGATAGAAATAGTAGTTCTTGCTCTCTTGGGGCATGGAGGAACTGCAATACCCTTTCCTTTGGCCTTTCGAGACAATTTTGGAGCCATTTGATGTTCGAAAGATTTTGGTTTGACGCCTTGAAACTCATTTAGTAATTTCGTCGAACACTTGGCATCCACTCCGAACAAGTTCTTTGAGAAAGTTTGATTGATTCTTCAAAAACCCCCAAATCTCAACAACAAATCAAGCATATAAGGCCACAAAGATCAATTCAGAGTCTTCAAATACAAACACCCAAAGATCTTCAATACAACTTAACCAATCCTCTAGATTTTCTTTCAAACCCAACCTCCAAATTTTCTCTTCAAATCCCAAGCTTCAATCTTCAATACTTGATGTCAATACAATAATCACAATGTATAATTGAATGTATGCAACAATATTATGAGAATAATGCACTTGAAGATGTATATGGGATGTGAATATGTGTGAGCAATATTGAAAATGTAAGAAATTTTCCCTCTCATATCAAAAAGAGTAATTCTACACACCTCAAAATTTTTCAACCCCTGTTTCCTCTATTTATAGACTGTTATAGACTTTCTAGATATTTTCTAACTAACTTCCTGAGCTGGGCCGTTCTTTTGGGCTTCTCTTTACTTTGGGCTCAGCTACTTCCTTGCAAAAACCGGGCTTCTCCCTCAACCGAAATGATCCTGGGCTTGATTAATTAAGGTTCAACTTAGAATGGTAGTCCTTATCTAACCCGCTTGTGACCATCTGGATCGTACCCCGCCTAGGTAATTTTGGATATCCTCATCTGCCCCCATAATCTCCCCCTAATTAATTAGAGTTGGATTATCAAAAGGGCCTAATCATGACATGACGGCTCGAAGTGATGACGTGGGGAAATGAATAGTTGGCTCAGAGATTAATGCTTCGAGATTTGCTGCACCATCTTCAACACAGCCTCGTGTAGGTCGAACCAGTTTTGCTTTAAAAACCTGACTTCTTATCTTTTGCCTTTCTTCAACCTTTCTCTTCTTTTTCGTCTAGTGTCATTACCTTCGATTACTTCTGTCATCTACTGTATTTTCTAGCGAACTTCCCTTGTTTTCACCGGCGATTTTTCCTATTGCGATTTGACTTTTGCTTTGTGATCGGACACTCTGCAAAACTCCCTTCTCAAGGTCAGTTCCTTACTTTTGCTGCTCTATTTTTGGAGGAAAAGGTTTTTTTACACACTAAAAAAAAAATTCCTTTTTTCTTTTAGAATGGCCCCCCTTAATTTGAACGTTATTCGTTCGAAAAATAATATCCTAAATGATGCCTCTCTCAGGGTTTATCCCGCGGATCTAAATGAGAGCACCGGTGAGGATCTCCTTCCCGGCACTACAACAGTTCTGGCTTTTACCAGCGCTCAAAAGTGCTAGTAAAAGTCCTAAAAAGTGCTGGTAATTCAAAAGCGCTAGTAAATGTAGTGTCAATAGGCCTTTACCAGTGCTTTTCCAGTGGTAAAGTCCTTTTACCAGCGCTTTTTCATAAAGCGTTGGTAAATGCTATATGCCAGCGGTTTCTGGAAAAGTGCTGGTAAAGAGTATTTACCAAAAAACGCTGCTTAAGCGTCATTTTAAGTTTTCCCCTATACCAGCGCTTCTTAAAGAAAGAAGCGCTGGTAAAAGGTCATTTTATATAAATATATATATTTTTTTTCCCTTTATTGTTTTTGTTAAAATAGATTACGGCTACTAAATGCCATCCAATATAACATAAGTTAAACCTGTAATCAAACATCAAGTCCATTCATGAACAAAATTTACTAACGAGATAAACCCAATCCACATCAAAGTTAAAAATAAAAATAAAAAATAAAAATGAATTACGGTGCAATAATGAAATTTGATATAGAGTGCAGCTATGTCTCAAAAACAGGCCCATGAAAATATATATATAATGTCTCAAATCATGAGAATTTGCGTCAAATGAGACTCCATGTAATAACATTCTTGAAACAAGACCATCACAGCCAGTCCCCAAACAATTGTTATTCCCGGAAGTGTCACCACCTTGTCCTTCTCCAAATTCACCACCACCGTAGCACAACCAGCAAATATCAGGAAGTAGGTCCCCAACACCTCCATATAAAGAGAACATGTTCAAAAGGAACTTCAGATGGTTAATGTTCAAAAAATGAGCATGAATAAAATGCAGAATCCAGATTTACCAGTAGTAAGACGAGTTGAAAATTTTTAAATATGTATACATCAATGACAAGGTTGTAGGAAGTAGGAACAACAGACGAGATAAGATGAGACAAAAACAAAATACTGAAGATGGTCCGACAAAATGTAAAAAATAGTCACCTAAATACCTTATTTGGGAATATAACTCCGGCTGGTGGTCGAGCTATATGTTTATGAGCATCTGGAAATCTGTATATAGCACAACTGAACAACAGAGGAGTAACAGAAGAGATAAAAAATAAAAATAGAAAAAGTAAAAGGAAAAGAAGTCCAAGATGCATTTTATTTTAATTAACCCACTTAAAAATTATCTCTGTTTTATTGGAAACTTACATGACTTGATTATCCATAATATCTTCCAGTCCTGTAACAGGTGACCTAAAAATTAGAGGGCAAGGGTCTCCAACACAAAGTGCTATATAACCATTCATCCCATCACTGCATGAAACCCAAAAAATATAAGGAAATAGTTCAAACAATACGAAGAAAATAAAAATGAATAGGATTCAAGAGGCCAGCAAGCTGCAGTTATTTATATAATGGACATGATTTAGGAACGATGATGTAGGAGAAGGGATAAAGTCCTGCTATTGTTGAAAAACAACCTCAAACCCTAACTATGAGCTAGGTTTAGAGGTATTTAAACAACAAAAAAGGGGGAGAAAGGATAAGGGCCAAGTATGCAAATATTTATCATCAAGCAAATCAAAACATGAGTCTCTTCCCTGCAACCGTAAATTAAAAAATACAAGATACGTGGATTTACACAGACAATCGTAGCAAAGATACAAACTTACCAACATTTGAACAAATCTGGGGTTCAAAAAATAATTTGCCATCAAACAACACTGAACTTGGGCACGATTCAGGAATGCAGTGAGAAGAATATGAAGTAAAAAATATCCACCAGACAGATTTTGGCATTAAAAAACATTTTAAAGGTTGAAAAAATGTTGTGAAAATTAATTTTGAAGTAAAATCATCTTGCAAATAAAAATATTTGTGTAAGGAAAATCATCATCCTTTTGAATTTTTTTGAGAAAATGAGAACTTTAAAAAATTAAATATATGAACTTTTCCCAGGAAATTCGGGATATTTCTTTTGATATATGAATTATTGAAATATTGGAGTACACCAGCTTTAATTTTTTGTTTTGCACTTTTACAGCTTACTTCATAAGGAATTTGAGGTTATTTTGAGATAACGCTATTTCTCAAAGGTCATTGAAGTCTATGGCTATGATTCCACAACTACTTGTAAACAGAGTTTCTAATTTCACCAATTTGAGAAATTACAAGAATCAATTAGAGCTTTTAGACTCGACAGCAATTTAAAACTAAAAACTAAAAAGGGAAGTACTAAAAAAATAGGCAGGAAAGATGTAAAGTAGTTAAGTAGCAGTTTTTCAACTTCACTTTCAAAACAAGAAGGATTGCTACAGCTATCTGGTTGTTTCCATAACAACTCGGCAACTCCAGTAAAAAATTACAAGAAAGCTGCACTAATCTACCATCCAAACCAACCAAAACAACATAGGCAAAAGCTAACTTCATTGTTTTCAACCGCTCCAAGCTACCCTTCAGCATTGAATCTAACACATTGAAAACTGCACAAGGATCTTTTTTATGGTTATGACCCTTGTTCTGTGGAAACCAAAATACAAACAAAATACATGCAACGAATTAAAGGACACAACCACAAGTTTCTTCAAAAGAACTCATCAAACTTCAAACTTTCTTTTTTCTAATATTTCTGAACAAAATACAAACAAAATACATGCAACGAATTAAAGAAATAGTACTTAAAACACATTATGTTCTTAAAACACATTAAAGTCAATGTAGATGGGGATGTAAATGAAGTTGTCCTGAAGTAAACAAGAGTCAGTCCTTGGCATTAGATGATTTGCAGAGCCCTGCAAAGAATCCAATTCAAACAAGAGGAGAGAGAGAGAGATCAAAAACGCCATTTAATAAAAAGTTGCTGAAATCATCATAATTATTTTATCACTACTATAAATTGCTCTATCAACTAATTAAGATATTGCAATATTCTTGAAAGAAAATACTGAAGCCACAAACAAAATAGGGAGCCAAAATCGAACTCGTTGTGATTTGAGCCGTTTGATGACATCTGCACACATTAAAACTAAAAACAAAATATCAACATCAATAGCTCAAAAAAGAGTAAAGCAAAACTGGTCATCATCATCATCAATGTCACAGTCAATTACCAATCAACATAAAGCAAATTAGAGAGTGATAATCTTCTAATTTTATAAGAAATAGATTTGACCCGATCAAATAAAAGAGTAAAGCAAAACTGGTCATCATCTTTTTTTTTTTTTTTTGGAAGAAATGAATGGTTCACGGACAAAATACTAGGTGGGTAGGCTTTAAATGTGAAAAATAAATGGAATTTAATCCAATTCACGAGCTGAAAGGAACAGCCAGCTAAGACTACCCCAGTTCTTGAATTTAAACGATGTCAAGTTTTCTATTTTCTACAACTGAACACTTAAATAAATGCATTGAATGACATAATGTACCAAAACTATAATTGCATTAAACCCAGTTCGTGTATATGTTTGTGTGTATAAATATAATATTATTCATGAAAAATAATAGTTGAAAATTGAAACTCACATAGAGAGTAGTGACAATCCCTACAGAGTCACCCTCTACAAGCTTGATCTGAATATTTACTTTCCCAAACAAATACTTGCTTTTGAATTGAAATCCAGCCCCTGAAATTGCATATATGTTATATAAATCAGATTTAAAATAAAAAATAAAAAATAAAGCAAGAGCATCAAGAACAAAAAATAAAAATAAAAACTTAAGCAAAAAAATAAGTAAATGAAAACTAAAATTGAGACACCCAATACATAACAAGGAAATCATGGAGACCAAACACAGATTCATTTGTTTACGAGAATAGTTATCTAGTTTCATCTTAAGAAGCTCTCCTTCATAGAGGAAATGGTCCAGTGCCCAATCTTGACTTTATGATCTACTAAGCCAGTCACTTACATCGTCCCAAGCAATCAAGGATCTGGGCTTTTACGTACTTGATCAAAAGACTTGATAAATATTAGGCAAGGAGGCAATATAAAATTTTCAACATAAAGGATTCCAGCAAATAAATATAAGCCTCGAATGTTAAAAACACCAACTCAATGGCAAAATGTGTATATCTCTAAAAGTTCTTAAACTAAAGAAGCTCTCAAAATTCATCAACCATGTTCCTTCTGTCCTACATAAAAGGGAGGAGGGGTTATGTTAATCACCACCTATTATTTGGTGGTTTGACTTAGTAAATCTAAACTATCCAGTTGGATGTTGTGAATGCTTCTTCCAGGTATTCAAGCTTTATGTCCTTATTTCCTATTTCAACTCCCCTCGCTCGATCATACCTGGCATAACAAAAAGCCATTACAAGACATTAGTGATGTATTTTAGGCGTCATGAAAGCATAATGATGCCTCCATTGCAAACCAATCTGAAACAGACTTCTACAAAACAGAAGTTGAGTATATAAAATGTAACTCAAAAGGTAAATTTGAAAGAGACATAAGAGTTTGTTACCATATTACTTCTAACATTGGCAATGATCCTGTTGAAAGATTAATTTATGTTTCTAAGTTTTCATTAGCACAAGTCTAGGTTAGGGTGTAAATTGCAGCCGTACAACAACCTTGCCATGATTCATGAGTGGAGCAAATTCTCATGAATAGAAGGAGGGTTAGCCAACTGTTGGTCTGAATTTTTTTTTTTTTTTTAACTAGCATACAAAAAAGTTGATACAGGAAATTCACATACAAATTTTTTTTTTTAAACCAGCATACAAATGACTATTTATTTGTTTGAAATTGCTCTACACAAAAAGTTATTTTAATGTGACATTTTCTTTTAGATTTATTTGTAACACAAAAGAAAAAAGAAGATAGTTTTTTAAAATAGTTTTTTATAAAAAAAATGTTTTGCATACTATATATGGTCAAACACTATTTTATTAGACAACAATTTAAACAACTCTAAGGCCTGGCATTCTGGAGTTTGGGAACATTTGATGTTCAACGGTTGTCATTGGACACCAAAATTCCATTTACTGATGTTGCAGGGGCCTTCATGACCAAAAGTTTCCAAGGCAAGATGCAGAAAAATGACTTTCATACCTGACTTATGCTCTTGAAGATGCGAAGGAAGGGTCTGCTTAAAGAAAGCCGAGAGATTAAAGACAGAGAACAGGCAAAGCAAGGAAGACACTCAGTTGCAAGATATTCAAAAAACTGAACCACTCCTGTAAAACAGCAATTATGAATTAAAACCGCAAAAATAAAAATAAGAATAATTAAAAGTTTGAACTAAAACAATAATTTCAACAGCCAAAAGAATTTATGCTCCAAACACAACATAATATATGAAAATAGATTAAATTTAATATCCCCTTACAAGTTCAACAGATTTCAAGCAAAGAGATTAAATTTTTGCCAAACAGATTCAAACGAAATTTGTAACAGATAAGGGGAAAAGTAAAAGGAAACAACCTGATCTGTGTGTTTATAGAGAGATAATTACGCCATTGAAAGTGCACTAAACACATGTAACCCTTAAATCTATCGTAAAATTCACAAATGCAACCTGAAAACTAAAACACTTCAGATAACAAATCCACATAAAACCCTAAATTTACTCAATATTATCACCAGAATAACAACAATCTTAGGTACAGTGATCTACACAGGTAATCAAAATCAGAAGGCAAATAGTTACTAACCTAAAAAAATTCTGCTCCGATCTGTTAGTGTAGACGAGGTTTTCAAAACCCCCAATGATGACTCTTTCTCTCTCTGTGTGTGCAGTAGCAATGACTTTGTCTCTCTAAACCAAGCTACCAGTTTTAAAGCGTTGGTTTCTAATTAAAATTCGAGTTTTGGAACGCTGACTGATGGAAGGGGAGAGAGCTGTGATGAACAGTGATGGAAAGAGAGAGAGAGCTGTGATGGAAAACAAAACGGATTACAAGATCGGGCGAGACCGGTGATAGAAGGAGAGAGAGCTGTGATGGAAGGAGAGAGAGCGTTAGGGCTGGCAAAATGAAATGGGAAAGTGAATACAGTGTTAATGGCCCCAAAAAAATGACGTAGTAAAAGGCCCTAAATATTCTACAGCGGAGGAAAAAGGTGGAGGGAAAAGATAAAAAATTAGAGGGAAGGGGAAAAAAGGCAGGGAATGGAAGGGCCATTACCAGCGCTTTTTTTTAAAGAGCTGGTATAACTACTACCCCTATACTAGCGCTTTAGAGAAAAGCATTGGTACGATTACCCCTATACCAGCGCTTTTTGTTAGAGTGTTGGTATGATTACACCTATACCAGCGCTCCTAAAAAGAGCGCGGGTACGATTACCCCTATACCAGCGCTTTTTGCTAAAGCGCTGGTATGATTACACCTATACTAGTGCTCCTAAGAAGAGCGCTGGTATTAGTTCACTTATACTAGCATTCTTCTAAAGAGCGCTAGTAAAAGCCTAATATGTTGTAGTGTAGAGAGATTCTTTTCTCAGCTCTACATCTGAACGTAATCAAATTCCCTCTACACCCATTCTTCTCTTATATCTTCAACAAATTGGGGTTTTCCCCTCTTCAGGTTAACCCTAATTTCCTTAGGGTGATTTCAGTCCTTCTAATTTTGAATCGTGATAGAGGTCTTAATTTAGATATCATAGACCTTCTCCTTTGCTACCGAATCGTTAAAACCAGAAGCGATGAACCATATTTCCACTTACATCCTATCGAGAAACGTTCCATCTGTACTGACAAGCTCTCATTCGAAAAGGGCTGGAAGAGCAACTTAATTGGGGTCAGTGGAAATTAACGAACTCCTTTCGCTCAGACTTTCCCAATCCCAACCACTTTCGAAAAGTGCTCTGTCCTTCAATTTAAGAAGTTTAAGAATCATCCTTCTGATTGCCATTATGAATCCTATCTTCCTCATTTTTGTACTTTTCTTTGTAGGTTCCTTTGAATAAATCATGATGAGTTAGTTTACAGCATTTGCAGGGCCAGACTTGACATTCTGAAGGAAAAAGTCCAGAACAACCTTCCCTGAATTACTGACTTGCTCACCCCTAAAAACCTTTCTGACATATCAATATTGGGGTCCATAATGGATAGTATTCAACTTCCTTCCTTCACCAGGAGAAGATGTTCTACTCCTACTCCTTCAGCTGTGCCAGCCCCTATAGCGACCACCTCAACTACTCCTATTTTGGCTCCAACCACTGAGCATCCAACTGCTGAGCTCGCTGTATCTACCTCTGCTGAAGTTCAGCCTACTGTGCCTAACAATGAACCCTCTGACATTCTGACTAAGGCTCCCCAAATTGGTGCTCAGAATGTTGAGGATTCCTCTCAAAGCAGTGGTGGATCTCCTCCTGCCCGGGATGGCATTTCAGAGAAGAGCTTGGGAAAAAGACCAATGCCTGAAGGTGGTCTTGATCAAAATGATGTTCCCCCGGCACAGAGGGCCAGAAAGACCTCTTTCAGGATCACTAATCCTATACCCCCTCCTCAACTATTCATTCCAGAGGGTGAATCTGCCAGAACCTCTAGTTCCACACCATCTGTTCTTCCATGGCACCCCTTGCTCAACCGTAAGGATTGCTCAACCATTGCCCCCATAAATTCTTTATTCAAGGACCCCCTTACCTCATTTTCTTTTTATAAGGGTTTCTGGACTCCCAAAGATCTTGAAATTCAAAACAAAATGACCTTCGGTGAGATGTATCAGCGGTTCCCAACAGCTGCTGTCGAGGTAGCTCTTCCTACCCTTGTAATATTTTTTTTTTAATTTTAATCATTTGATGGCTTAACTGACCAGAACATCATTTCCCTTGTGCAGACTCTATTTGGGATGTTTACATTTCAGAAGACCATTGAGGTTCTGAACAAAAAGCTTAAGTCCCTTTCTGTTAGCCTTAAGAGATCTGTTGAATCAGAGAATTTGCTCGAAGCCAAGAATGCTGAGCTCCTGGCCAAGCTGAACGAGTCGGAGAAAGAGATGACTAATTTAAAGGCTGAGAGGGACGCTCTAAGGACCGAAAGAGACGCCCTTAAAGCTAAACGAGATTCTCTTCAGGATGAAGCTGATGTTCTGAAAATTGAGAAAAATGTTGCCCTAACTGAAAGAAATGCACTGAGGGCTGAAACGGTAACCTTCAGTGTACTATGATTGCTGAACGGTTGACCCATACAAATTCAAAAGAGAAGTTCTCAAATGAATGCTCTTCTTTATTGAACGTCATTGGCAAAGTGGACGGTGGCATGAGGGCTCTCCATACCCGTTTTTCCAGAATAAGTGCTCTCAGGTATGCTGAAGAATACAGAGACGGCTTCATTGACCGTTCTCCCCCTGAAGGAGAATCTAGCACTTGTGCTGGTCCTGATGAGTTGGACGCTTCTCTTGACAGTAATCCACCAAGCAACTACCAAGATCCACCCTCTGATCCTGCTGAAAACATCTTCATTGAATGCAAAGAGATTGTAGCTTCAGGGGCTGCTCCACCCTTTCACCCTGTAAATGTTCCTCCCATCACCACCATTGTTCCTTCCACATTAGTCGCTTCTGACAGAACTTCATTGCCTGAAGAGGTCATTCATCTTGACTCTCCATCTAGAGATAGTGGTACAGTCAATGGTGAAGAGAACAACAACCTTCAAACTGGTAATGATGGGGAAGGCAACAGACCAGGGCTAGAAGAAGAAACTACAGACTAGTTTTCTGCTAATCTTTGTAGTTTTTTTTAAAAAAATTAACCCATATACTTCAACAATTTATCTTATGATGAATGGAATGGTATTTTTGTTTTGCAAAGATTATGTTCTTCAATTTATCCTTGAATGAGTAAATGGTTTGATTCTTCTATATGATTCTTACAAGTGTTTGTAGTTCAATTCAAAGTGCCACCTGGCATTTTTAGGCAAGTGTTTGGCGTTCGGCTAATAGTGCAACTTGCCACTTATCTTGCTGAGTGTTTGGCGTTCGGCTAGAATGCCACTTGCCACTTGGCACACTTTTTAGGCAAATGTTTGGTGTTCGGCTAATAATGCCACTTGCCACTTATCTTGCTGAGTGCTTGGCGTTCGGCTAGAATGCCACTTGCCACTTGGCACACTTTTTAGGCAAGTGTTTGGCGTTCGGCTAATAATGCCACTTACCACTTATTGTGTTGAGTGATTGGCGTTCGGCTAAAATACCACTTGCTACTTGGCACACTTTTTAGGTAAGTGTTTGGCATTCGGCTAATAGTGCCACTTGCCACTTATCTTGCTGAGTGCTTAGCGTTCGGCTAGAATGCCACTTGCCACTTGACACACTTTTTAGGCAAGTGTTTGGCGTTCGGCTAATAGTGTCACTTGCCACTTATCTTGCTGAGTGCTTGGCATTCAGCTAAAATGCCACTTGCCACTTGGCACTCTTTTTAGGTAAATGCTTGGCGTTTGGCTAATAGTGCCAGTTGCCACTTATCTTGCTGAGTGTTTGACGTTCGGTTAGAATGCCACTCGCCACTTGGCACACTTTTTAGGCAAGTGCTTGGTTCAACCCAATTTTGAAACTGAATGAACTCTTTTTTATAAATCTTTAAAAAGTTTGTACACTTGCATGAATATAATCCTCAAATGAGTATTGCTCAAAACTTAATTCAATTTCTACTGGTAGTACCTTTTTAGAGATGTCTTACTGACCAACCTTCCAGCTATAGTTTCTAAAATGTATGCCCCCTTTCCTATGACTTCTGCCACTCTGTATGGTCCTTCCCATGGTGACATCATCTTTTTGACAATCCCTACCTTCTTTTTCAAAACTAGGTCACTAGGTGCAAAGTCTCTGTGCTTCACCCTTTTGTTGTGACTATTCATTAGTGTCTGTTGATAAAACGCAAGCCTTATTGCCGCTGCATCTCTTTTTTCCTCCAGCAAATCGAGATTAAATCTCAGCATATTGTCATTCTGTTCCTAATTCCATGCCAGGCTCCAAACAGTTAGAACCAAGTGCTCAACCGGTATTACTGCTTCAGTACCATATGCCATCGCGAATGGGCTTTCTCCGGTCGGTCGCCTTGGGGTTATTCTGTAGGCCCACGGAACATTGGGGAGCTCATCTAACCATTTACCTTTCTCATCTTCAAGCTTCTTCTTAATATAAGCAAAGATTGTTCTATTTGTGATTTCAGCTTGGCCATTTACCTGCGGATGGTTGACTGCTGCCAACTTTGATTAATTCCATACTCTTCAAGTAACTCTTTCACTTGCTTACTGTCGAGATTAGTCCCATTGTCCATGATGATCGACCTTGGCATGCCAAAGTGACAAATAATATTTCTCCAAATGAAGCATCTTACATGAGTTTGGGTTACGCTAGGATACGGCTTTGCCTCCACCCATTTGGTAAAGTAGTCTATTACTAGCAGAACGTACTTGTTCTACGACCTGGCGGTCGACAGAGGGCCAACCACATCCATCCCCCACTGCGCGAAAGGCCATGGTTTAACCATTACGTACAGATCTTCAGGTGATTAGTGCATCAATGGTCCAAACCTCTGACATTTATCGCATCTTCTAGAGAATTCTTCTGCATCTCGCAACATGTTCGGCCAGAAATACCCTTGTGTCATCGCTTTATGCGCCAGAGATCTTCCTCCTGAGTGATTGCCACACACACCCTCATGGATGGTGCGCAAGATCTCTCTAGCTTCTAAGGGGGTAACACATTTCAAGTACGGACCTGAGAAAGACCGTCTGTACAACTGATTATAAACAATAGCATACTTAGCAGCATTTGATCTGATCTTCCTCGCCTCATCTTATCATTCTGGCAGCACACCATCCCTTATAAAAATCAGAATTGGATCAATCCAGCTCGGTTCATATGGTATGACATTGACTTACCGAGGGCCCGAGCCAGACGGTTCCTCAAAAATGGATGGCTAAGACAACACATCAACCGGTATTACCCTAGCCAATGTCTTTCCAGAACTTGATGCACTACAAGCCAATCAATCAGCATCTTCATTGTATTCCCTCGGCAACTGAACGAATTTAATCAGGTCGAAATATTTGGCCTCACGCAGAATGGCAGATTAATATGCTTTCGTTGTCT